GTGCAATATGAAGTTACACATACAGAATTTATATCCAGTGTTCAGTTCCACTCAGATAGAATTTCAAATGTTTTACTTTTGCAGATGGAGGAAGAATACAACTTAATACTCTACCTTTCAGTTAGTGGGTTTTATTGAATGAAACCGATCCCGATTAAAATAAAATAAAAAGGAGTTATACTAAAATATTTATGTCTAGTAGATTGAGATTAAAGTTCTTTTCATTCTATTCAGACTGCATAGGAGATGAGGCAGGTATCTGTAATGAGGTCAAGAGAAATAAAAAAAAAATCTGCTCTCCCTGTGGAAGGTGCGCCATGAAAACTATAAACCAAAAATAAAATATTTGAACGATTCTGGGAGGGCTGAAAAGTTAGAACTGGTTTAATGATTCTCAATGCTCAACCCTTGTAGTCATGTCACTCATTAAAATCTTTGAGACCTTGTTCTGCAATACTTTTAAGTCTTTCTTGTGTAACCCTCATGTTGTTATACAGTGGCTATCAAATACTGTGAAAAATGCAAAAATCTCAAGAATCTTGTCTAGATCAGAAAAAAAAATGGATAAATACATAATTGATCCTTTTTCTTAATAGGTTTCATACCTTTGTCCTCCTTGATGGTGAGCATGGGCAAAGCATAGATTATCTTGTAGGACGTCAGAGGAGCACTTAGGGCACAACCCAGGATATCCTAGACAGAGAACATACGTCAAAATATGCAGTTTGAATATTTAACCTGTGCATCTTTTAAGGAAAATGTGAGCAGACTATTTCATGTTCGTAGAAAAAAATGGACCCAAATAACGGACACATTATTGACCACATTTTTTTTTTAACTGTCACAGCTTAATATCAGAGAATGGAAGATTCCCATTTTTTCACTGATAGGAAATGTCACTCTGACAATGTGCTGAATTCTCTGTGAATGTCGCCTAGAATGAGAGGATATCCAGAAAATCAGTCAGTCTGAGCTTATCACAGGTTTTCATTTATAACTCAAAGCTTTATTTTCGGTGCCCTTCTAAAAGTTTTCTTTTGCCCAAAGTGCTGCAGTTATTTTGATTCATACAAATATCCAGATAACAAGAGTCTGGACAATAAAATTAAGTCAATCAATTCTCAAACCTAACCGCTAATCTAACTGGCAATCTGTCAAGGCTGTTTCCTACCTCACTATATAGCATCTCTTGTATTTACATCTGCATAAAACATGAACAGGCTCTCTACCTGTCCAAGTATTTCCATGATCACAGGCACCACTCCATTCTCCTTGGTAAAGCCCTGGAAGGACATGTTTCTGGCAGACCTCCTGGTGGAGATGAAGATGTCTCCGCTGGCTGTTTCAAAGGCGACATACTTCATATCAGGCCTCACCCAGCAGTTGGTCTGACCAAACATGGTTTCCGGTCTCAGAGTTGCAGCAACCAGGAAGATATTTTTGCCTTTCATGCCACTGTTGGGAAGACAACAAGTCTCAAAGCCTGACTACCTTATTTGTAAACAGTATGTATAATTTGCCATATTAAATAACATTTTACATATAGAACAAAATGAATAAAGAAATAAAAAGAGAGCTAAAGAACACAGTTTAAGCCACTAAAAAACAAAAAGTCACAGAATATTTTTTACCTGCTGTAAAACACTTTGGATTTAAATTTTGCAGTGTAAGGTTCAACTATCTTCATCTTGATGAGTGTGTACTCCTGAGGTCCCACTCCCTGCAAATGACAGTAATTAAATAAAAATCAACTTTTTCATAATGTGAATTAGGTCAAAATGGAAAATCTTTTTTGAGGAGAACCAAATAAAATGGGTTCAAAGGCTCTCCTTATGCTTACAAGGACATCTAGGGTCAACTAGTGTTAGTAAAGAAGAATATTTCAAATAAATAATAAATGTGTCAAGGTTGTTAATGTACTCTGCATTTGTTCTAAACTTGCACTTGCTATTTAGTAAGGTAAGCATGCATACCTCCCCAGTTTGCCTGTCATGGTCCATGCATGGCTGTCCATCCTTAGGAGAGTAGATGGTATACCTGCAGAGATGAAAACAATATTCTCACCACATATTCAAACACACATGTAGTCTTTTCGCTTCACTCTGTGTACTCCGACGTCGAGGTGCTAAGGTCTCTG